GAACCTACATATCACCTGATAATCTTATTATAGTAAGATCTTAAAAAACGAAAATAAAAAATAAAAAAATAATTATTCAGTAAAGATGAGGCGAGGCATTTCTAACAAGCTCTCAGATGCGGCAGATGACCCTAGTCCTGCTTGGGAGGCCACACTGATTGGCATGGACTGCTACTCAGAGGCCACATTTTACCCATCTGCTTATTCCTCAAAGTGAACAATTGTTAAAACAAGTGCAGAAACACATTCTATTTTCAGATCAGCATCATAACCAAGGAGGACGTCATACTTCCTGTTTTAAGTTAAACGATTCAATTTTTAGTATCTGAACCCAGAATTTTATTTTTTTTTATTTTTTTTCATTTATTATTTTTTTTATTTATTTACTTTTGAGAGACAAAGAGAGACAGAGTATAAGCAGGGGAGGGGCAGAGAGGGAGACACAGAATCTGAAGCAGGCTCCAGGCTCTGAGCTGTCAGCACAGAGCCCAACGCTGCTGTGAGATCTGTGAGATCATGACCTGAGCTGAAGTCAGCTGCTCAACTGACTGAGCCACCCAAGCGCCCCTAGAACCCAGAATTTTAAACCTTAATGAACTGACAATGGAGAATACTGGAAACATGTAGAAATTAGAGTCATGTAAAAGCTTTTTACAAATTGGGACATAAAGAGAAAATTTTATCTGGTGACAGAATGTTGCAATAAAAAGTGATTTTTCTGTCTCTAAGACAGACAACATGCATTATCTGAAATTCCGAAATCACAGAAGGGGAACGTTTCTACTCCATGTTGGCTCATCCCTGTGTACAAATTTCACATTTTATATCACACTAAAAGTAGCCATATGGAATAGAGATATTTCATAAATGGCTAATTAAGAGCCTAACAATCAATAAATGTCATTATGCAAACTTAAGCAGCAACATTTATATTCCTGGTGAAATCCACTTGCTGTATTTACAATTAAATTTAAGGAGGAAAAGCAAAAGAACGTTCTTTTATGAAAGAAGTCTCACGATGCCCAAGACAACTGTCTCAGAAAGTTCCATCCCTATCTGTTAACCAAACAAGGCTCAAATTTCATATCCTTATTGAAGTCAAACCCATACAAATGTCACTGTGAAACTAAATACGCTGGTGCAACAGATGACATCAGCTGGAGTTGTGTTTACAGGTCTATCCATCTAAAGCATAAGCCTTGACCTTAACAACAAGCCCAGCATCATACTCTTTGTATTTGTGTGTTAAGCAAACTTGGATAGAAGAAGTAAAAGAACTCCCTAATCTCTCTCTCCCCCAAGCGTTATAGCCCTGTGCTGAATTAGGTTAGGTACTCTGCTAATTACTCTATGCTCATTACATCTGTTAAGAGTAATGAGTAGCACTTATTTGCAGTAATCTAATTATGCAACTGGGGGAGGAGTTCTCATTCACTTAATGTGGAGCTCCATGAGGGCAAACACATGTACTGATCACTGCTGTAGGCCCAGCACCTCACGAGGCACCACTAATTACTGATGGGTTAGGGGCTGAAGGAATGAATAAATGGATGAATGGTGTCTAAAACACGGTAGATGCCCAAAAAATGTTCACTGAGGTAATTAACAAGGGCTTATTTTCTAATTTTTTGTTCCCAGATATAGAAAACTCCATGTAATATAAATCCTAAATTAGACACACCAAACTCCACTTACATCAGTAAGGCTCACCTGTATGATATATGCAGCAATTTGCACACGTGTCACCAGTACAGGTGGCTGTGACTGGCACTTAAATCAAGTGTTCCTTTCTATTCTCTTTATCAATTTATTTTTCACTTGTGTACCTTCACACTGCCTACCAGCACACCCACTTAGAAAGAGAGCTAAAAAGACCGCAATCCCAGGGTGCCCAGGGGGCTCAGTAGGAAGAGCATGTGACTCTTGATCTCAAGGTTGTGGGTTCAAGCCCTGTGTTGGGTGTAGAGGCTACTAAAAATGATAAAAACTTAAAAAGAGAGAGAGAGAGAGAGAGAGAGAGAGAGATGGCAATCCCTATTCTAAAACGCTGAATTTGTTCTTATTTCATTAAATCACATCAAAAAAATTAAAAGCTTCTCTCAAGGCTGCTGTAGCTCTTGATCTCCGGATCAGGTTTGCTTCTTTTTCTTTAGAGTAGCAACTAATGAACCCACTGCCATGGGCAAAGAGAAGACCCTCATCAAGATCATCAGCATGGGCCATGTGGACTCCAGCAAGCCCACCAATGCCACGCATCTCATCTACAGGGGGGGGGGGGGCACTAACAGGAGAATCATCAAGAAGTGGAGGCAGCAGATAAGGGCTCCTTCAAATATGCCCAGGTGCTACACAAGCCTAAGGTGGAGGGAGAGTATGGCATCACCACTCCCATCCCTATGGAAGTCTGATACATCACCATCATCAATGTCCCAGGCCATAGGGACTTCATCAAGAATGTGATCACTCGGGGCGCCGGCCAGTGGCGAAGTCGGTGCCAGCAGCGTCCACACTTCAGCTAGCCAGGTCACTATCTGCTGTCTGTTCAGAGTTCGAGCCTGGCCAGGGGTTTCTGGGCTGATGGGTTAGGAGCCTGGAGCCTGTTTCAGCCTTGTGGTTCTCTCTCTCTGCCTCCCTCCCCCTGCTTCATGTTTGTTGTCTCTTCTCTTCTGTCCCAAAAATAAATAAACGTGGAAAAAAAAAAAAATTTAAAAAAGAATGTGATCACTGGACATCTGAAGCCAATGCACCGTGTTCATCATGGCAGTGTCATGCAGGAATCTGAAGTGGGCATCTCCAATAAGGGCAGACCTTCGAGCGCATGCTGTGGCCTACGTGCTGGGCCTGAAGCAGCCCGTGGCTCGGGATGGCCACTAATAAGAGGGACTCCACCAGGCCTACCTATAGCACTGTGCGCTTCCAGGTCACTTTAGAAGTGAGCACCTACCTCAAGAAGATCAGCTACAATCCGGCCGCATGGCCTTTGTGCCCATCTCGGGCTGGCACAGCGACAACATGCCCTGGCTGGAAGGTCAGTAGGACAGATGAAAACACCACCCGGTGACAGCTAGAAGTCTCTGGATTCTACCCTCCCACCCACTAACCCAGTCAATAAGTCCTAAGGCTGCCTCTGCAAGACATGTACAAGATCAGAGGCACTGCAGGCACTTGGGGGGCTCAGTCAGTTAAGGGTCTGACTCTTCATTTCAGCTCAGGTAATGATCTCATGGTTCATGGGTTCAAGTCTCACATCAGGCTCCACACTGACAGCATGGAGCCTGCTTGGGATTCTCTCTCCCTCTCTTTGCCTCTCCCTAACTGGCTCATGTGTACTCTCTCATATTAAATAAATAAACTTTAAAAAACAAAAAAAGAAAGAAAAAGATCAGGCATTGTGCCAAGGGGCCAGTGGAGACTGGCTTCCTGAAATCTGGGACGGTGGTCACCCTCGTCTCCACCAACCCTCACCAGAGGTCTGTGGAGAAGCACCACGAGGCCTGTCTAAGGCCCTGCCTGGTGACAACGTGGGTTTCAACATGAAGAATGTGTCTGTGAAAGACATTCCTCATAGAAAAGTAGGTGGAGACAGCAGGAACGACTTCCCCCATGGCAGGTGGCAATGTTGTGGCACAGGTGATTGTCTTAAACCACCCTAGGCAGATCCGTGCTGGCCAAACCCCAGTGCTGGACAGCCATACAGCTCACATCTCCTGAACTGAGGGAAAAGACTGACCAACGCTTGGGCAAGAAGACAGAAGACAACTGAAAGCCCTGAAGCCTGGTGACGCAGCCACTGTACAAACAGTCCCCAGCAAGGCCTTGAGTGTGGAGACCTTCTCTGAGTACCCACCACTAGGCCATTAGGGACATGAGACAAATGGTGGCCCTTGAAGTTATCAAGGCAATAGATAAGAAGTCATCCCCTGCCAGCAAGGTCCCGGAATCAATGGTAACGAAGAATGCCCTCTTCAGTGTCCTAAGCAATCTTCACTATAAAAATTACTTAACAAGACTCTTAAAAACTGAGAACTGAGGGTTGATGGGGGGTGGAAGGGAGGGGAGGGTGGGTGATGGGTATTGAGGAGGGCACCTTTTGGGATGAACACTGGGTGTTGTATGGAAACCAATTTGACAATAAACTTCATATATTGAAAAAAAAAAAAAAGTGTATAAAGGACTGATACAACTCAACATCCAAAAAACAAATAATCTGATTGAAAAATGGGCAGAAGACCTGAATAGACATTAATCCAAAGAGGACATACAAATGGCCAACAAACATATGAAAAAATGGTCAACATCAATAATCATCAGGAAAATGCAAATCAAAATCACAATGAGATATCGTCCTATACCTATCAGAATGGCTAAAATTAAACAGATAAGAAATGACAAGGATTGGTAAGGAAGCAAAAAAAAAAAGGAACCCTCATGTGCTGTTGGTGGGAATGTAAATTGGTACAACCACTGGGGAAAACAGTATGGAATTTCCTCAAAACAGTAAAAACAGAACTACCATAAGATCCAATAATTCCACTACTAGGTATTTACCCAAAGAAAATAAAAACACCAATTCAAGAAGATATACACACCCCTATGTTTATTGCAGCATTATTTACAATAGCCAAGATATAAAATCAACCCTAGTGTCCATGATGGACAGACAAGAAAGGTGTAATACATATCTATAATGGAATATTATACAGCCATAAAAAGACAAACTGTGACAACATGGATGGACCCAGAAAGTATTATGTTAAGTGAAATAAGTCAGACAGAGAAAGACAAATACACATGATGTCACTCGTGTGGAATCCCTAAAAAAATGAATAAACAGAAAGCAGAATCAGAAAAAAAATAAAATAAAATAAAATAAAATAAAATAAAATAAAATAAAATAAAAAAATAAAAATTACTTAACAGTCTATGTATTTACTGAGGAAGATTAATAAAACTTAAGTAGCCAGGAAAAAAACAAAACAAAACAAAAGTAAAGGCCTTACCATTACTAGATATCCCTAGGGACTCTTCTGAAGGCTTTCTCTCGTCTTCCTTTTCTTCAAAATTATCCCCGGACCTTGACGGCCGTTTTCTGAGAGATGTTGTCTCTTCACCCACCATTGTAATGTCTAGGAAGGAAGACATGAAAAGCTTTTGTAGAGGAGGAAAACTTCCTTTCTTCCCTTCCAGGTTTCTGGGGTGGTCTGATAATTAAATTGACATAAGACAGATTAACAGGAGAAAAACAAATTTAAATCTGTATGTACGGGAGCCCATAAAAATTGGGGACAAAAGAAGTGAACAAAGCAGGCAACCCTGTACCTTTTTAGACAAAGAAACAATGTGTGAAGAACTGACAAGACAAAAGGGCTTGGACTTGAGGTAGTAAATTAGTGAAGTAACAAGGCTTGTTAAACAGCCTTCTCAGTTTGATCGAAAAGAAAAAGGAAAGGACCCAAATAAATAAAATCAAGAATGAAAGAGGAGAGATCACAACACAGCAGAAATAAAAACAATAATAAGAGAATATTATGAGCAGTTATATGCCAATAAAATGGGCAATATGGAAGAAATGAACAAATTTCTAGAAACATATACACTACCAAAACTGAAACAGAAAGAAATAGAAAATTTGAACAGACCCATAACCAGTAAGGAAATCAAGTTAGTAATCAAAAATCTCCCAAAAAACAAGAGTCTAGGACCAGGTGGCTTTCCAGGGGAATTCTACCAAACATTTAAGGAAGAGTTAACACCTATTCTCTTGAAACTGTTCCAAAAAATAGAAAAGGAAAACTTCCAAACTCTTTCTATGAAGCCAGCATTACCTTCATTCCAAAACGAGACAGAGACCCCACTAAAAAGGAGAAGTACAGACCAATTTCCATGATGAACATGGATGCAAAAATCCTCAACAAGATATTAGCCAACCAGCTCCAACAATTATTCACCACGACCAAGTGGGATTTATACCTGGGATGCAGGGATGGTTCAGTATCTGCAAAACAACGTGATTCATCACATCAATTAAACAAAGGGCAAGAACCATATGATCCTCTCAATAGATGCAGAGAAAGCATGTGACAAAATACAGCATCCTTTCTTGATAAAACCCCTCAAGAAAGTAGGGATAGAAGGATCATACCTCGAGATTACAAAAGCCATATATTAACGACTCAAAGCTAATATCATCCTCAATGGGGAAAAACTGGGAGCTTTCCCCCTAAGGGCAGGAACAAGACAGGGATGTCCACTCTCACCACTGTTATTCAACATAGTATTGGAAGTCTTAGCCTCTGCAATCAGACAACACAAAGAAATAAAAGGCATCCAAATCGGCCAGGAGGAGGTCAAACTTTCACTCTTCACAGATGACATGATACTCTACGTGGAAAACCCTAAAGATTCCACCAAAAAATTGCTAGAATTGATTCATGAATTCAGCAAAGTTGCAGGATATAAAATCAACGCACAGAAATCGGC